TAAGGGTGAGCTTGGACAAATTACTTAACAGCCATGTGTCTCAGCTTTCCACGTGTAGGAAAATGGGTATGAACATCATAGAGTCATGACAGGGTGGGGAACCTGAGCCTCAAGGTCACATGTGGATCTCCAGATCCCCATGTGTGGCCCCTCAACCAAATCCAAACCACAGAACAAATCCCTCTACTAACAGGAGCTGTTCTGTAAAATCTGAATTTAATCAAAAGGTTAAGGATCCAGAAGGTCACATGTGGCACCAAGGGTGCAGATTCCCCACCCAACAAGGCCTGGCACAGACTAACCCCCCATATCAGTACAAGATGCTATTATTCTCATGAATATAGGAATATGAACTCAATATCCTTGAATGTGAAGGCCACCTGTTCTCTGGCAACTCCCTCTTTTATGTCTGCACTCAGATCTTTTCTCTTATGACCCATCACCAACTTGACATTTCTACTTGGACATCTCACAAATGCCTCCAAGGTAACATGTCTAAGATAGAATTCTTGATCTTTTCCTTCAAACCTGTCCCCCCTCCCCCCCAATTCCCCATCTCATTAAATACTACCATTATTTAACCTATTATAACAGATAAAAACCTAGAAATTACTCATAACTCTTCCCTTTCTGTTACTGAAAGCCCACTTCGTCAGTAAATCTTATCATTTCCATCTCTAAACCACACCTCAAAACCAAGCCAGCAACTCTCTCACTAGGTACCTGGTAAGAGTCTCCTCTCTGGTCTCTCTGCTTACATTAACACAACCCATCTCCGCAAGAGCAGATGTCAGCTCGGCACCTGTAGCTCAGCGGCCAGGGCGCTGGCCACTTACACCAGGGCAGGTTGGTTCAAACAACAATGGTTTGCCAAACAACAGATGTTGGGTCTGCCAAACAACAATGACAACTACAAAAAAAAAAAAAGAAAAAGAAATAGTTGGGCGTTGTGGTGAGCACCCATAGTCCCAGCTACTAGGGAGGCTGAGGCTGCTTACATCCAGGAGTTTGAGGTTGCCGTGAGCTGTGATGCCACAGCACTCTTATCAAGGGTGACATAGTGAGACTCTGTCTCAAAAAAAAAACAAACAAACACACACTAATCACGTCTCTCTCCTGTTTAACACTCCTCAATGGCTTTTCATTGCAGAAGAAACAAAACCCAAACTCCTTATTAAGATCTGATCCATACTCACCTCATTTTGATGTACCACTACCCTCTCTTCTTTCAGCATGCTAAGCTCCATTCTACCTTAGCACATGGGATTCACTACACTACCCTGCCTTGCTTCTATGCAGCTAACATCTTTAAGGTTACCTATCCCAAGCCTCTTTTTGAACTTATTTATAGTGGGAATTTATAACATTTTTTTCTATCTCACCCGCTTCTTTCCTCCAGTGCACTTACAATGAGCTATTATTTTCATGTATTTGTCCCCCTACAAGAGTGTAACCTCTCATGAAGGGAGAGAGTACAGAGTCTCATTCTCCATTTTATCCCTAGCACTGTCATAGCATGCATCCAATAATTAGTGAATATAAATCGGTCCACTGCAATGTTTCATATTTTTTCTCATTTATTCTTCTACATAACCAAAACATTTACTATCCCCTCCTTAAAGACAAGGCATTTGAGTGAGAAATATTAAGAGGTGATGAGTGCAAACAGGATTCACATGCAGGGTGGCCCTGCGATCCCTGTGCTGCTTCACACACACACACACACACCCCTGCTCCGTGCTCCACCCATCCCAGTTCCCAGCACCTGGGCTCAGCTCTCTGCCTCCACCCAGCTTCCTACCCCTTCAGCCCTAAGAAGTGGCAAGTGCTTCCAATATATGGGCTTCAAGGCTCTCACAAGTTGTGAATAACAAGAGCAGTGGTTCTAAATATTGAAATTTTGCCTCCCAGGGTCCATGACCAATATCTTGAGACACTTGGGTTGTTACCAGTGGGGAGGTACTACTGGTACCTGGCTGGTAGAAGTCAAGGATGCTGGTAAACATCCTGCATAGGCAGGTTGATCATGCAATGCCAGGACAGCCATTCACGACAAAAAATTATCTTACCCCGATAAGGGGTGAAGCCCCGACATTTAAGAACCAGGTTAAAGCAAGAGTACAAGGACCACTGACCACAGAAACCAGACAGATGATGTGACCGAGTCAAACAGGACTGATGCCAATTTATCATCTCACCTTTTCCATACTGGGATTACCTTATTTTATTGTTTGGACATGGCACCATATGTTAGTTTCTTACCACAGCTACGCTTTGTTGCATGTTGAACATGCCTGTTTTCCACCTCCACAAAGGAAAGCACCCTTTCCATTTTCTCCTGAAACACTGAGCCTCTTCTGGCTACCCTTTTGCCCTCCATCTTTTGAGGATGGACACAGGTATAAAAAAAAGATAACTCTTAATTCAAATTAAAATAACTGCCATTATCAGATGGTAAATACAACAGCTCAGTTTAGAGGAAACAACAGACAGTAGGGGAAACTGTGGCAAACTGGACCCTCCATGACCCCTTTTTAAATGGGAGTGGAGTTTACACTGTTCCAGCAAATTGCTGCCACTTAGCAATGTCAGCTCAGCAACAGGCTGCTTCTTAAGAGAGGTAAGATATTAAACTGTAAAACTGATGCTTCCCCTCCCAACCACCATTAACCCCATCCCACATTCAAATTTAATTGGTCTGATGTGCAGCTTGGATATCAAAATGTTTGAAAGTTTCTAAATAACTCTTATATATAGTGAAAATTGAAAAGCACTGGTTTAGTCTCTAATCTCACATGTGCACAAACTAAGGCCCAGAAAGCTAAATGCTTTGCTCACTCAACTAGTTTGAAACAAGCATATAATCAGAAAACAGTTCTTGTAAGACAGTGTTTTCACAACACTGGATTAAAGTGTTATGGGTCAGAACACTGGATCATGAAATCAAATTAATGGTTTATAAAGAACACTTTTTAAAAAGGATAGAAAATCAGAATGTACTGCACATTATACAGGTAAATATTGGTACACTGCCCAATAAAGGAAAGGGCCATGTTGGCAGGCAGTGAGTTCCTTAATGCTTAGCACATAGGGAGGAAAGCCCTAGCCTGTTTTAACTCTTAAAAATGTACATTTCAATCATGGAGTTTCAAGTTAAAAACAACATAAATGAATCCATTTGTGTCTAGCTTGATATTTAGTTGTTGTTGTACTTGATCTTTTGTCAATCAGTTATATATTAATGCTAGAGAACAGAAGAAAATGCAACGCCTCTCTAAGTGGAAGACCAAAGAGTTATTTTAAAATCCCACACCAAAGTACTATACAGTGTCAGCTCAACAATCATTCTGTGAGGGAGAAAAGGAGGAAATGAGTGAGCTTTTAAAAATGTTTAAACTCTTGGGCGGCCCCTACGTGTTAAAGGAGTAGGGCGCTGGCCCAAATACAGGAGGAGGCAGGTTCAAACCCAGCCCCAGCTAAAAAAAAAAAAAAAAGATGTTTAAATTCTTCCTATCTACAAGATCTGAGTGGCTTTCTGCTGCCTTAGCAGGGCATGAGGATGAAGAAGAAACAGGTCTGACGTTTGTTCTATGAAGATGCAGGGCCAGAGAAAAAACCAAACACCCCAGGTCTAATCATTCAGCAGAAACATCCCTCAAATCCCTCGAAGTGTGGCCTCATGTAGGAAGTCTCGACCTTGGTCTGTTCATCCAACCTCCACACATCTGATGACTACTGTCCCTGGAACATCCAAGTATATGGTGTACCACATCCATTGCACCTCTTTCAATGCTCAAAGAGGAAAGTCAAACAAAGTGCTGTACTGTTACGCTAATGTGAAACTGTATTTTGTATGGGTTAAACCCAAATATAAATTATCCAATATAAAAAGATTCAAAGGAAACACAATTATAATAAAAGAAAATGTGAAGAAAAATGGCAATAGATACTACGATTTCTTATCATAACCTCCCTGAAGATGCAATGTCATTCTGTATTTTACTACAAAGCAGTTAATGTTTATACCAGCCATCTAATAAAAATAAAACATTCTGTCACGATATCACAAATCAGTATTATGCATTTACTTTTATTTACAGCAACTACAATTTGTCAAATGATTTAAACACATAGCGCCTTCCCATGTATCACCCACCCCTCTCAGTTATGCTCCTAAAAGCCAGCCCTGCAAAGTAAATCTGGCATGTAATAATCCCACCTAACAGAGAAGGAAAAGCTCACAAAGAAAGTAACTTAAAACAAACCAAACTGAACCATGCTGTACTGATCTGAAGGCTGTGTCTCATCCCCTGTATCATGCTGCCTCCCCAAGGTGAACTTACCTAACCTGCACACTAGCCAGGTTTTCCAGCTTGCTACTGAAAAGCAAGGAAGAAGGTGCTGAAAAAACTTGAATTCTTCTAGGCTTGAATCTACTATAAGAAAAAAGTATCCTTATAATAACCTTTCTGGGCCCATTGGAACACACATACAAAAATGACTCTGGCTTTTTATTACTGTGTCTTACGGCAGTGGTTGTGATTTCAAGGGAAGCCAGTTTGCTGTGTTGTATCCCTCTGCCTAACCAAACTCTTTGCTAAGGGAACTTTGGGTAATTCACTAAATTTGAAAATACAGTTAAGAGATAACTCACCAGTATTTGAATAAATCAGTAGTAAAAGTCCATTTATATAAGAAAGGTTGTGTTAGAGCATCTCGCCAGCTGATTTTGAAAAAAATCGGCCTACTGGCCAATCCGCTATAACCTGCCTTATCGGAATGTCAATCCAAAAACAAAGGAAACCTGTAATCGGTCCACACAGGCGAATGCTTCAACTTTTTTTTTCAGCACATCGTTTATACATTATCCATTTGGTGCAAAGCAGAGAGAAGGGAGGAGAGCCTTCCGTATCAAGTGTTCCCAGGCCAGCAGGAAGGATTAAGGCTCGGGAGCCCAAAATACAACACAACCTGGAAAGTAACGTGTCGAGGGGAATTACAAATAAATGCCGCCGGCAGTGTTTGCGGCATCGAAGAAAAATGCACGCTGAAATTTAATTATAAGTTTAAACAACTTTCCAGGACAGGGAACGTGCGTTTGCTTTGAGCTCTGCAGGAATCCATCCCAAAGCAAAGCAAACTAGCCTCGCCGTCAGGGACCAGGATAACGGGAAGGTGGACAGCCGCGCCAATCAGCGCACCCAAGCCTAGTCAGCCCCGACCAGCCTGTTCGCGGCCAGGCCAGGCAGCTGTTGATCTCAGGGCTTTTTCGTTTTTTTTTTTTCTTAAGCCCAGAAAGAGAGCGGGTAGAATGAGTGAAAGGAGGTCTGAACCCGAGAAAGGGAGGAGGGAGCAGGAGGTAAGAACGTCCCAGGAAAAAAGTCAGACAGGGGACAAACTGGCGGGGACCGGCCGGCGGACTCAGCGCGGCGGAAGCGGGAGAAGAGGGGAAGGAAGGAAGGCGAGGGGAGGGGACCCTGCACCTCAAAGTTCGCGTCCCAGCCGCGCCCGCGCGCCCCGGGCTGC